GACAGATGACTGTATTATGATTTTCCACTTTTATCATTTTTTAAATTTGGATGTTTCATTATACTAAACAGTCAACATTAAGTATTTCAGACAGAGCATAGAAAATGAATATATGAGAAGAGACTACTTTGAAGGTTAATCAGAGGGAACCAGAGAAAACTAAGCTTTATAATTAATATAGTAGCAAAGACCTATTAAGACGACAGAAAAATACTATTTGACTAAGGCTGTTTCAGTTTAATTGTGGTCATAAGACAAAAGCTACCTGTATTGTTTGTATTATTTTTTTATCTATTTGTAAACTTTAGAAAATTATTTTAATTCAGCATTCCATTCACTATTATTTTGGAAGTATCACTTCCCTTTAGAATTTTTTTAGAAAATGTTTTTGTGCTTTTGCCAACATTGGCCTTTCTTCAAAGTAGCAGATCTTTTCACTCAGGTATGGAGTGAACAGATGTGCTACCAATTTATTTTTTAGGGAGGGTGAAGGAGGGACGAAAGAATTGCTAAAAATCTAGATTTTAGCAAAAATTTATAAAGTGCAAAGTTCTTGAAAAAAGCAAATGCTAAATACTAAAGAACAAATAATCTGTGTCTAAGGCAGAAATAAATCAAAATCTTAAGAGGTTTTGTATCATTAACATAAATTATTGAATATCATAATATAATAACAAATGGTAATAAAAGAAAGATAACACACAAAAAATTCTTATCAATATTTTAGCACTAATTAAAATATTTCAACATCTAGAATATGGCACTTAAAATAATTAGCATTTTCTTTTTTGTAATCAGTAAAGGCTTAAAAGTGATTAAACATGTATCACTTGAGAAACTTTGTTATTTAAAATTGCAAAGGTATGACATTTGAAGATTTTGGAATTTTGTTCTTAATGGCTTTAAATGCAAGTGTCATCATTTAGCATTAAAAAGCATATTTTCAGGAAAATGGGAGGTCAGTCCTTATAAATGAAAAAAAATATTGAGAAGATAAAGCTGAAATGTCATAGCTGTATTAGTTTAACAGAAGTCATATACAAATTATAATAATTGTGAGAAACTAAAAGTGTTCCATTGAAAATTACTGTATGTATTTTGTCTCATCTGACAAATCTATTCTAACTGTGGAAGCTTTCTGAAGGAGTGTTAAGTGTCTGGGTGCTCCCCTGAGCATTGGGGGGCAAAACAGATAGTTCATTTGACAGAATTTAGAAGACATGAGGGAACTAATCATCTCCTTTTAAATGATGATGAATCGACCAGGTCCCATAGAAACAATGAAAGTTATAACACAATGTATCTTCAGACAGAGCTTTTCTTTCAGATGATAGTAAAAAAAAAAAAAACCTCAAATCTTTGGGCAAGATATTAAGCATGATATTTGCTTAAGTATTGATTGAACATTGAAGTCTTGAAGGGACATTCTGAGAGTGTAGAAACTAACCTAGTTTATTTTACCAAGTCCTGGTTGAGCTTGAAAGAGGGTGTACTATTCTTAAAACAGTGTTCATTCAACTTTCTGGTTTTGCATCAGCCAAGACACTCTCTTTGTGGAAAATCTTAAAAACATGGCTCCTGGCCTTGGGTTAAATGGTTGGGGCTTTTTTTTTGTTTGTGGTTCTTAGATTCACTTTACGTTTTTAATTCTAATTGTTATATTCTGTTTTTATGTTGTTGGTTTTATTGATATCTTCCAGAGCCAGTTGAAATTGGGCAGTATCTAAATTGAGTTAACTTAAATTATCAACTAGCCCACCAACTCAGGAAGAAATGGAACCACTGTAAACCATTGCAAAGGATTTAGAATGATACCATGGTCAATGGCATGAGCGCAATTTTCAATGAGGAATCTGGAGGCAAGTATATTAGGACATGTTAGGAGGTCTGGAATTCTACGATGACTTTATAGTCTGCTGTTCAAACAGTGGCTCACAAACAGGATGAACCACTGTGATAAGCCTGCTTAGTAAACATTTCACAGTGCTAACAAGAATCTGCTACATGACCTTCCACAAAACTGAAAAGAGAAAGTTTGTGTTCACTCAAATAGGAAGTCTGCAGAATGGGGTTATCCAGAATTCTTCAGACAGAGAAGTAAAAAATTAAATAAAGTAATTGAACAAATCAAATACATTCTAGGATCATTACAAACTCAAAGAATGTGTGATATGCCTATATTTTGGTTCATAATTTATCTGTATGAAACTTAGAGATTACAATAAAAGTACAGTTATTATAGTATTATTAAAGAAACATCACCATTTCTAAGAAATGAAAAACAGATCCAGAAGAGCCCCTCCCTTGTTGTTCCTCTTCTTTTAGCTTTTTAAATTCCATTTTCAGTTCATCAACAAGTAATGCCATTGTGAAAAAAAATTAAACAACCCAAATGTTTTTAGTCTTTCAAATAATAATTTCCAAAGGTCCCAAAGTCACCAAGCAATCCAAATAGACACAAACTGTTTCATTTAGCATTTTCTTCTTTTTATACTTTCTCTTCCTGGGGTACAGTTCAATTGCAAAGTTCCAAAGTATATCTTTTGGAAGTCTTGTTACAATTTAACTCTGATCTTATAAGTTCCAAGCAGCCTCCTCCAGCAAAATCTTAATATTAATTCTTTTCGTCTCTCTTCCCACTTATAGCAAAAAAAATTTTTTTTAATTTCAATGTTCAGAAATCTTTAATGTCCCCTTGGCTTTAGTTTTCAAATTTAATTACCTGCTGGTGCCAAAACGGGTTTTTCTGATTTCCATCTGCTATCACCGTAAGGAAGAAGAGTGAGAAAAAACAAACTTTCCCTTTTAACTTTCCTCCACCGCTTTTTCCGATCTTCGTTGGGAACAATGTATCTTTAATGAAATTAAAATTCCAGGGTATTTAAATGTTACTTGTTATCCCGGTTCAGCCAAAAGCTTTCACTTTCTCAGCTTCCTCCTGCACATTCTTGTTCGGAGGAAAGCTTCTTTGTGGCAGACATTGCTGACCACTGCTCCATGCTTTTGGAAAAGGGAGATAAGCCAGCTGAGGAGAGAGGTTGCAATTCCCCCGGACCCCTGCTGGATCTCCTCTGTCTTCAGTTACCTCTAGGGGGTAACTATTAGCCCCCAAATCTAGCTGGATTGGGGGCACTCCAGCGGCAAGCGCAGCCAAGACCGCACACGATCGCGGATTCCTGCCGCCTCTGAAGCCTTGCAAACCAGAAGCCGCTGGAAGCCCACCAAACTGGAAGCCCATCAAAAAAGGGAAAAATAAGGTGAAAAATCGATACAATGTCAGAAAGCAACAGAAAAGAGGGTGGAGATTAAGAGGGTGGAGATCAAGAGACCGGGGGGTGGGTGGGTAAAAAGGCTAGATTGGAGAAGAAAGGAAGAGAAAAAGGGAAGAGAAGTTACAAATGTTTGAAACAAGATGTAAGGAAATAGGAATTATTCAGAGATAATGGGTAAAAATATAATTAAAAAAGAAATTCTACAAAAGTACATAAGACTGTATTGTTGTATTTGAAATAATGTTAGAAAATTGGAACATTATATGATTATAAAATGGGATAAAATATTAAAAGGAATGTGTAAAATGCTTAAGATTTAATGATAGAGTTTAATTTGCTATGGATTATTCTTTTAATTATATTATAAACTTATTATTTTCTTATTTTAAAATATAGTACGTAGCTTTAGAATGTACTAAGCAGAATCAGAATGAAAATTATATATTATTTTAAGTGTTAAATTTAGGGGGAAGATATAAAGGTGTCATACTTCAATCAGTGATTACAGGATAAATTTTGTGTTAATGAGAAAAGATAATAGATAATTGAAATAGAACAGACAAAAGATACAAGTATAATGATTTAAATTGAGATGAAATAAACAAAATAGAATTAAGAGAGTGAAAAGAGGGAAGAAGCTATATAGAAAATGTAGAATGGTAAATAAGATATGAAATGGTATATAAAGTGAGCATGAATTTGATTTATGTCTGTACAAAAAGATGTAACCCGGGACTAAGCCGCTTTCCAAAAAGAATTTTTATGTTTTCGTGTTTTGTGTTTTGTTTGTGTATGTTTGTTTATTGAAAATTAATAAAAAAAATATTTTTTTAAAAAAAGAGTCCCAGATACGTGTTTTGGGTCCAGAGGCATGTTTCTCAACTGGCAAATTTGCACATCTTTATAGTTAAGAATATTATCCCTCTCATACTACATCTTGATGTGTTGATTCCCTTGGTTTTGTAACTGCTTACAATAGATTCAAAACTACCTTATCACCTTGCTGCAAACCTTAATTAGCAAATTTATGTCCCCAGTAAGCAACCTTTTAGATGAACTGGAAGAAGGGGCAAATTCTGTGTTCCATCTAATTGAGCAGGGGGCCTTCAAACTTGACAACTTTAAGACTTGTGGACTTCAACTTCCAGAATTCCTCCTCCAGTCATGTTAGCTCAGGAATTCTGGGAGTTGAAGTCCACAAATCTTAAACTTGCCAAGTTTGAAGACCCTTGTAATTGAGGAATGATAACTGATGGGACCCAGAAAGCACCTCTTTTATTTTGCTGCACCTGCTTTTGAAATATCATACCCACAAATTAGGTTGGCTGCTGATCTTTTGGAGGGCATTTAAGACCTGGCTGATCACCCAGGCCTGATGGGTTAAGAGGTCAGATAAGCCTATATGCTATTGTTATTAATATGGATATTTATACTTGGAGATTTTTAAAAATGTTTTTCTCTGTGGTGTACTGCCATTTTTATAATTATATTTATGTTTTTAACCTTTGCTTGCTGTCCAGAGCCACATATGTGAGATGGATGGATGGCCATATAAACTGAATAAAACACAGAAATAAATAACTCAGGGAGAATAATGTAAATTCTAATTCAGTATCATTAAAAATACCAGACCAGGGATGAGTGATGGCTGAGCACATGTCAAAATTCACAAGAAGTTTCATGCCCTACATCAAAAAGTAAACAGGAAAAACAAAAAGAACAACTTACCCACAAGAAGGTCCATAATTGCTGATTAGCTTGTTGTGACTCTCCCAAAAGCCCTGAGTGAAAAAAATGACAGAAACTATAACTGGTTCTTTGCATTATCAGCACTCAAGTATCCATCAGATTTCAAGAACCTTTTAAATGATCTATTGCTGCTCTAAGCAATGTTTTAGGTATCTTCAGGCAACCCTGTCCACATTTTTGCCTACTTGATTTTTTTTGCTTTTCCAGTAAGGAAGAAGTGGGATATACTTTCTTTTTGTTTTCTGTCCCTCATAAATGAAGAAGTCAGTAGTTAGTTTCTCACTGGTACAACTTCCTATAAGCATTTCACTAAAGATACTTTTACCTTCTGAATCACTGGCCCTTATGCAAAACTATCTATCCATTTTGAATGAGCAGGATTATATGCTTTATTAAAGGCTATTAAGATTTTTTTCTTTTTAAAATTCTTATTCAAAGAACATACTTATGTTTTCTGTTTTAGACTAATTCTTGTATGTATTTTAAAGCTGAAACTCATTGTATCATACAGAGATATGATTTATTTCAAAATCATATATTTCGGCAATTGATTCATGGTCTATTATGGTAGGTTCTTAAATGTGATATGACATATCTTTATTTGTTATACCAGATAACTTTGAAGTCTTGTTAAAACTCTTGTTAAATACAATCTTTTGTATTTACTTGTATTTAACAAAAATATGATTTTAAAAAATATTCTTATGTTCTAGAAACAGTCTCTTACTAGCCGATCAAAATTTTGATTTAATTAAATATCAAACTCCTCAAATTAAAACCAATGATCCCTGATGCTGCAGAAACAATAATTAAAATAATTTTAATTTATTTTAAAGTTCCTGTTTTGTGCTGATTGTGCAAATGCAAATTGTCCTGTAGTGCAAACCAGCCTTCCTGAATATGAGCATTCAACATTATGGCATCAACACCCATAATCCCAGCTAGCATAACTATGTGCTATGAATTCTGGTAATTGGCATGGAGATACCTTAAGGTGCCCATCTAGAGGTACGTTGATAGAAACAATTGGCAGAAAAGTGTAGCTTGCATCTTCAAGAGTGCAGCTGCAGTGAAAACATTGGAGAGTGCAATTATGAGAATGAAACCATTTTTTAAAAAATCTAGATACAGAGATAAAGGATTGAATCTTTGAGTCAGTCATTCTCACTCAATCCAACCCACCTTATGGGGTTGTTGTAGGGAAACTAGGTGGAGAAAGTTTTGCTGGATATGTTTGCTTTCTTAAGGTATTTGTGAAAACAATAAAGGTGAGATACAAGTAAGTAAATAAAGGAACGGGCTTTTCAAGTATCTTCCAACATAACATTTAGTGGTTGTCACTGAAGCAGTTGGTGTGAGTTTAAATGGACTCCGAGGGATGGTACAGGACAGGAAGGCCTGAAGGGACATTGTCCATGGAATACCGATGGGTTGGACATGACTTTGCGACTAACAACAATAACAAAAAAGCAAGCAGTACAGTGATAAACTTAAGAAACACTGATAAACTTCATTTATATGCTGCCACATATTTTCCAGGAGCATTTGAGTGTTTCTTGTAGCATTTGTAATTTCTAATAAAACACAAAATATTCAGATAAAATTGTCATGGAATATGAATTTCTAAATGCACAAAACTGGCTAATAAAGCAGTGGCAGAGATATTCAAATTCAAAACAAAATTAGGCTTATAATGCTGAACATCAGCAAAGAATTTCAAATGAATTGATTTACCAACATATCATTTAGTTGAATTATGATGCATTTGTTTTTCAGTGTAAACACTGGAAAGTGAAATGTATGGTTTCTAAATAAATATTTTATAGTGCCTTATTGAAACAGAGAATCAGCTGCCAAGAATTAAAGATTGGCTCTATGCAGTTTAGGGAGAGCCACTGGATCTCATCCATGCCCATGATAACATGCAAAATATAAAGCTGTGATGAAGGGAATGGAACAACTTGCCACAACCAACTTGCCATGGCCAACTCTCAATAGCCAACTTATCATGGCCAACTCACTGTGGAACACGCCCAACTCGCCATGGGAAAACTTGCCTCAAGGCAATTTACCAATTCTATTTAATTATTTAAAATAAATAAACATTATTTTAAATTTTGCAATTCATATTTCATTCTGTCCCTCATTTTGCATCCTTTCTTTAATGATTCTACTCCACCAATTCTTTGATATTAGTGTAACTCTTTTCCTACAGTGAGTTGTTCTGTGGCGAGATGGCCATGGCGACTTGTCTTGCAGCAAGTTGGCCATGGAAAGTTGGCTGTGGCAAGTTAGCCATGGTGAATTGGTCTTGGCGAGTTGGCCATGGTGAATTGTCATAGATCTGTGGTGGACACAACTTGAACTTAAATACAGAGTAAATCCAGCCATTAACCTTTTTATCCTAAACATTGCAAATGAGTCACTGTAGTTAGATCTGAAAATGACCCATCTTCCTTGTCACAATCTCCAGTTTCAACAATTCCCTTGTTTAGCAACTGTTCAGAGTTATGAACACAGACACACACACACACACACACAGACACACCCCAAGGCATTTATTTTGAAGTTCTGAAAGCCACATTCTCTCCATAACCACATAATCACATTCTGGGCATTTGGCAACCAGCTTGTTTGCAAAAACAGGATGCTCCTGTGGTCACATGATAGTGATTTTTGGCATTTTTTCTACTTTTGGGTGTTTATTTTTGACTTCTGGGGAAAAAAAACAACCAGTGGATCAATCAAATTTGCTTAATGACCATGTGTTTGTTTAATGACCACTGCAAAAAGGTTGTAAAATACCTGCTTAGCAACCACAACCATTTACAACTGTAAATATGGGCTCAATTACAGTTATAGGCAGCATCGCTTGTCCTTATACCCAATATCTTTCACACGTTGCAATACAATAGGGTAGATGTTGGCATAATATACATTTTTGTACTATCTGTAATTTCTTTAGGATATGATCAAGTCAAGCAATTGCTCACTCAAAGAATAAAGAAGAGATATTAGGGATAGGGTTAGTTAATAGGTAACTCCAACATGGCAGAAACTAGATAAATAAAGGCACTTGGAAACCAGCAAAGTATCTAACAATGTAACTATCTTCAAGTCTAGAATAGCATTTTTCAAAGCTGGCATAACATTGATCATCTACATTGCTACAAGTTAAATGGTAGGGATACCTGGCGCATCAGTGGTAAATATTGTAATAGATATATTGCATCCATACATGTGTACATGTGCAGACCATTTGCAAAGCATAAGGCTGAGAATCTGTATAGACTTTCAAAGCATTAGTTTTCAGTCCTTTAATTATGTCAATCTCCATAAAGCAGAAATAGGTGTCTTTTTAAAAGTTTTGTTTATACTGTTATATAGCCTTAAACAGTATGCAAAAATGCCTCCTCCGAAAGATCAACTAATCAATAGTAACAAATAAGAGAATAAGCATATTATGTGTATCTCTAGCATGATATGAAAATTTCTAATTTGAAAGAAAAAAAATATGGTTGTGAAAAACAACGCAAAGAGAACCATGCCACCTTTTGATGGATAGAAAAATCTATCAATTTCAAAATGTCAAAAATGGATAGATTACAAATCTCCTGAATCCAGTCCTTAATATTACTTTTCCAATTTCTCAAAATGAATCTGTGATTTCCCATGCCCAACATAGCCAAAGTTCCTCAAAATAATATCAGATATTTGGAATGTAAATTTTCCCCAAACCTACTTACATATATTAATATATTGTTTCCAAAAGATGCAAATAGGTCATAAATACTGACTATGAGGTCAAACTATATGAATCAATGACCTCTCAAAGACTGTACATCAAGCAAAAATCTCTCCAATGACCATTGTTTAAGTATATTTGTTCTTAATAAAGCAGAAATAAGCATGGAAACCAGTTGCTAGACACACATGTATGAAATTCTATCTATGCCATTCTTTCTAAAAAATAAATAAATCATGTACACAGTTTGCTTCCTTTGATCGTAATCTCTAATAGTCATCCTTTGTGGGTAATATTCTTTAATTTATATATGTGCCATTTCAAATTTTAATGCACATATACTTCTGAATTTAATAAAAACAGCTTTTCTACCCTTTAGAGTTATTGAGAAGTTAGTGTTACATAATTAAGTTAATCCTCATTTGTAAAGGCTAATTAATTAAATGCTAATTGAATCCACATATGACCATTAGCACAATGCACTCTCATTAGACAATTTTAAAAAGTTACCTTAACTAAAACCAAGCAAATTATTTTGCTTCTTATAATCTTTATAGAAAATGGAAAAAGAAGGCTATTTTGATACAACAGCATGCTTTTTGCCTGTGATTTGCATTTTCTTTGTCTGACAAAATATACAATCAAAAGCTATTGTTGCCTGTAGCATTTTACCTAAAGCTAAAATTCTATACCTATTTACTTGGGAACAAGCCCCACATAATTTATTGGGACATATTCCTAAATTAAAATCTGGAAGATTATGCTATAAAGAAATTTATATTTTAAATCTACTGTAAATGGCAACTCAAACATTCCAAGGAAATCAAGAAAAAAATTAATTACAAGTTGTTGTAGTATGTGTATCTTGCCATCTTGGTTTGATTTCATATTTGAATAAATTGTCCACACTGTATGTTTTGTTTCCTTCATCCTTAGGTCTAGGAATCCTGAACTCAGAATTTCCCAGAGCTCTTACACAAACATGCCTCTTTTTCTACACATCATGACAGAGAACAGATGATGAAAAAGGACAGCTTCTTACAGCTACTACATACTTTCCCAAAACAGATCATACAGATAGTCAGTTTGAAAAAGTAGCTCAATCAGCCATTATTCGCCAAATAATAAGGAGCTATACAGTAGATATGTGGTGAAGGGCTGCCTATATCCAAAGTACAAATGCTATGAGAAGTTTTCAGTATTCTTTTATGGTCTCAATGAGGAAAATATACACAAAAGACTTACATAATTTATCTTTCTATTCTCTTCACTTCGAATCAAATCAGG